CAGAAACGGACAGAGTCGTGGTGAATCCACAAAGCGGCTCACTGCCGAGAGATTTCGGGGAAAAAAAGGTAGAAATTAAGGACTGCACGGAAATTCTGTTACGCTTTTGTGAATCACAAGCTGAACACATTCGCAGTAGATATATCACTGCGACGTAGGTGCACACGTGTGGTAGTTAACAGGAAACAGAGGGAAATATAAAATGAATTACGACTGAAACCGACACGTTTGTGTCGCCCATCTTTTACACTTACTACGAGAAAAATGAACATTCCTACATATCCTCTGGACGGTGTTTTAATCTTGTCTGCGTCAAGTTCGTTCGCTTGTATTATGCGTCGGCGACGTAAGACGAGGTACACTGAGAGGATTAGGAAAATCTGATTTAAATACAATGAAAGTATTCTTGCTATTAGTTCTTGCAAATGAGGCTGTCGTCTTATGCTTAGAAAAGAAAGATTAATTAAAAATTGAATTTGTTGCTATGGTATTGCTTTTTTGGTAACTGAAAATAATTGCCTGAATCTAATAATTTCTTGTCTTACACATTATTTTAAAACGGTGAGAAATAAAGTAATTACAGTTCTCATTATGAAAATATCGTATATCGTGAATAATACACATATTAAAATGAGAATTAAGTTACTATGTAATTTAAAAAAGGAAACCACATAGTAGAGGTATCATTTTATACGTAATTATGAAACAACGAACGTCTGGTCTCGCAATGCAGCTGGTACGACTGCCACCAGACCCTGAATTTAAAAGAGCTCATTAAAAGAATGCAAGGAAGTTCAATGACCTCAAAAAAAAGGACTCTAACGAAATATTGCAATCTGATTTGAAATTGTGCATCATTCATTGTTGCACTTAACAGGTGCATCAAATCAGTTTGCCAGGTGCGAGAAGACACGATCAATTAATTCTTCTTCTCACTGGGCCCATTATATTAATTTTACCTATAAAACTGTGAATTTAGTTATTCAAATACTTTTTCTACCTGTGTACAGAAACTAACAGCGCCAATAAACGGCGCTGCAATCAAATTGGATCGTGTCAATTCTTTAGAGTACAGAGTAACACAGAATCGTAGTAATTGGATTAGGTTGTAGCCTAATGTAATGACTGGAAATTGTGGCTGTCTCTTTAATGTTACGGTTACGATTCCGCTCGAAACGCTTCGGAAATACTTCTTTTTATTTATTTTTATTTTATTTTGTAAGTTTCGTACGGTTGAACATGGCTCTTCCTGATTTGCATATACTGTATCCACGCGGGCAACCGGATGCTTTGCTCGATAGACCGTTTCTAATACGACGATCTCATTATATATTATGTAAATCGTGTTCCCAGAATTGATTGGACCACTGTTATAATGACGCACGTGAGCCAGGGATATCGTGAAATGTCTTTGAATTAATTTGGAACCATTTGATTGTATTAATCTTGATTGAACTTCTAAATTAATTAATCAAAATGTTGATATTTTATTTTGTTTCTAAATCTCGTATTAGAGTTTTAAAATCTAATCCTTCGTTATTAATGTTTCTGAATTCTGTAATTATAAAATCAATTCTTTAAAATTAAAAATTACAGTTAGGTTGCAGAATGAAACTTTACAATCTTTGGAAAGCATTTAAGGAATGTAAAATAATACTTTGAAACTATGCAGATTTGAGAATACACTTCTTGAATGTAGGTCATATTTTCTTAAAAGTAGGAAAATATCTTCTCTTGAAGGAAGGAACCTATTATTCTTCAGGAATGCCAGGTCGTTTTAGTTTGGTTCGCCTCGAAAACATTTATTCTTGAATTCTCCCAGTGCGAACAATAGATTTGTACTGACATTAATCTGCATGTCTGGCAATGCAAACTGAAATCTTGTAGCATTATTCAATTCAAAAAAAATTCAGACAATTGTCATGAAAATTACATTCCAAGAAAGCAAAGTAGATTATATGTATAAAAATTTTTAAGATGAATATTTTCTAAAGACTTTTAGTTGAAAATAAAATTCTAATATTATAGAAATGAACCATTTGATATACAATAACCTTCCGAAAATAAATAAAAAATTAAAGTAATCATAAAATATTTCTTTTCAATCTCCCGAAAAGGCAACTTTGACAACAGGTGAGAATTTACAATGTAATATCACAAATTGCACCGGAGTATAGACGGGATAAAGCTGTTCCCGGTGAATTATTCAGAAGTATCGAGGAAGAGGAGCTACCGTACTAGTAGAAATGTAGTCGATACAAAATTATATCTTTCAAGAGAGAATATTCCCTTTGTTCCCTTTAGTTTGCCTTCCATTCGACCGGAGGAAATTCGATTTTATGATAAGCTGCTTCTATCTTCCTCTTTTCTGTACCCCTTCAGACCCTCAGACTGTAGGCTTCTTCCTTTTTCCGTGTCAGACAGCGTTTTGTTATGTCATAAATAACAGGAAGGGAACGTATGAAAGTCCGAGAGGACACGTGTGTCCAACGATTTTGTCTCGGAACACTGTGCGCCATTATATACGGTTTTGTTTAACATAAGAAACCAATAAGGTACGAGTTCCTCTCCTATTTTTATATACAGGGTGACCTGAAGTAGGGAGAATTTTATAAACTCGTGAAATAAATTTTATGTAGGGGTTTGCATATTTTATAAAATATTTGTTTCGATAATTTATAGGGTAGGTAATTCAGTAATTACAGCTTCAAATGGAATATTATAATTTTATTATACATCTTGGCGGATTATATAAAATTTTACACTTTTTTTTTAATAAAGCAGAGGTAGGAAAATTCTTGCTGCAATTTCAATTAGTTTTCTACAGAAAAAATACACTGTAGAAATATACAAATTGTATATTTAGAGTACATTCCGAAAATATCGTGTAGAATGTGCATTCAGTACAGCTTCTCCATTTTCCTATGTATACACGGGAAATTGAAAACCTGGATTTTTCTACGCGTTTCCTTTTTCTCGGCTTTACTCTTGCGGATTCCTCTGTTATCTGGCTGCTGTCTCAAACTGCATCGAATTTGTAGGAAGAAGTTCCACGTCGAGGATGGCTCGAAACATGAAATATGTACCAAAGTGATATCCGGATTTGCCTGCGTGTCGCAGACACATTTATTTGTTTTGGGAAACCGTGCTGCAAGGAGAAACGTTATTTCTTTGCTGTTGATTCTCCTGCTGATCCAACGAATAAATATTTCTTCCAAACGTTTTCTGCGACTTTCATCCAACCCTCTTGCCTTTCGTACTGAAAATTGCATCTTTAGGAAATATTAAAATGATGAAAATTATTTTTTTAATAATTCAAAGAAATACAAAGATCTTATCTGAAACAAATTGAAATTTATAAAATAGAAATTTAGAGGCTAGAATTTTAATATTAATTAACACGAATGACGCGATAGTCATCAAACGTTATCCAGATGATTCCTGTGTGATCGTATTAGAATAAAACTTGTTACCGATAAGTCAGCTCGCGACTAAGTTATTTTTCTCTTCGGTAATAAGGTCTCGTTTAGCTGGTAGTATTTTTCATAATATTCGATACGGCGGGGTATTTTTCATCGTGAGAACTCGCGACGAGACAAATCGACTAGATAAGGCTTATGCAAGCAAACGCGACAGCGTGAGGAATGGGCGATCCGTAACCAAAGAAATTCCATTCAATGGGACTGATAGATGTGATTAATCGTGCAAACGTATCTCTCATCTGCAAACAATTCGTGACGTTGTTCATGGCGAATCTTCTTGTCTTCTTCACTATTGTAGCTTAACTATACGTATAATAGGACCATGCTCTCAAATTTATAACCCTTGACTCTATAGTGAAATAAAAAGGTGTTGACTCTATAATGACGCCTTGAAGTATTGAAAAATTAATTGATAGAATGTTCCAAATTGGTGCCTCGGTAATCAAAGCTAAAGGCTTTTATTTCCACCGATAAAGTGAAATACAATTCTACCAATTGTTATTCAAAAACCTGTATCCATCGCCCTATTATTTCGTCGAACAAGATCGAATAAGTTCGAAAGCGGATTACATTTTTGCGAACCGTGTTTCTTGAATAGAGGGAAACTACCTTTGACATCGCTAATGGATCGCTGTCTGAATACTGGCTCTTCGTTCAATAGCTCCTCGTGGAGATGTTTAATAAAAATGCGCGGGAAGATCTGGCGAAACGAAAGTACCAGGTAGGCATCGGTTTAATGGCACTTGGTCACGATTTACACGAACCACGGGATATTTATGAGGCAGTCATAAATTTCCATAGACCAGGAGAAATGGTTTAAATATGAAGGATCGTTGGAGATGTCATTCATCTCTCGTTTACGGATCCTATAATTGAATAAACAGCCGAACAATACAGACTGCGGGTCTGTTCGTTTTAAATATCTGTTCGAATCGCGATGATGCTTGTATAATGGGTGATCAGTCGCGTCTTTCGATTGGTATTGTTTAAATAATGCTGCTTTTATGGGAAAAGAATTATTGGCGTCTATGGGGGATGAAATTTAATAAGATGGTTCGTTTATTGTATTTGAGGGTTTTCGAATGGAACTTTGCAAATGGAAATAGTAATATTGAACATTTTTTATTTTAAAATATGTCAATGTGAACTTGGAATTTAAAAAATTGCAAATAATTTTGAAATTTAAAATTTTGCACCACTCAGAGTAGAATAAATGCTACCCCATCAATTTTGGAACCTCCTATTATAAACATTGAGTTGCAAGAATTGCAAGCCAAACATTTGTATTATTTGAAACATTAAATACTGCTTGCATTGCAGTAATGTGCAGTTGCAGAGTTGTAACAACACGGAATATGGAATTTACATTGGTATTCAATTACAGTGGAATTTAAAATGGAAATTTGTAATACGATATAAATTCTGATGATTATTTATTAAAAAAAAATTGTTGAAATCTGTATTTCAAATTGTCTTGTTACCATCTATTCTAATGAATTCTTTTTTTGTTTGTTGCAGAATTTGGAGCAGACAATATTGCAATACTCACCATTTTGGTAAGTCTTTAAAACTTTGATTGAAAATTTCTATAATTAAATAACCTTCTAACGAATAACACGATAAAATATTTTCTTTTCTATACTCTATCAATATTGCAAACAATTTTTTGCTAAAATAAAACGGAAAATATTAATTTCATTAATTTATCTATCGTTTCGACTAATAACTTTTATAGTAATCATAGCTTCGTAATTTTATATATTAATAACATAACTACAAAGGAATAATATTTCATAATTTTCAATTCCTTCAACCAATCATAAAATCATAAATCACCCTCGTTTTCCCACCGAATGATTCCCCAATCAAAGTTTCTCGCATTTCAATGACGAATTCGCTTCTCTCCCTCGTAATTAATGCAAATTTATTAATACTCGAATTATACGGAATCCTCCAAAAAGAGCAGCTTAAGTAGATTACTAGTGAAAAGGCGGTGAATATTGAGAATATATCCGAGAGACAGATTAAAATTGAATTATACTTTAAATTCGCTTTATAATGAGCAGCGAAGTAACTAGCTGGGGGCCATGGTGGGTTTGGGCCCCCGAAAATATGGAGCCCTCGTCATTTAAAAATTTTAAGATTCTAAAAATTTTTAAATTTCTAAAATTCAAGATATCAGAATTTCAAAGGAAAATTTCAAACAAATCCTAGTTACGCCAATAATAATGGGCAGAAAGAGACAAGCGATTTTATTTCGTTTTCCCTTTTATCCCATGGTCTCGTAAGCGTTTAAAAATAAATTCTCGCATCATTTAATACCCGTTGGAGAGGTACGGTTTATCTAGTTTCGAGACTTAACTGGATTGCGTCACCGGAAAACAGCCAGGATAATTCTCCGTGAATGTACAACGTGGTTACGACACGCACTTCCAAAGCACTGTGTTGCCTCGGGTGTTTGTCTGCTATATCGAGAGATTTCTTGTTAACTCAGAGATTCAAACGTGTAAAATCCCTTTTCCGTTCTGCTATCGTCGACGTGATATTCCGGGGATTTCATTTTACAATTGTAGAGGAAATTAGACAACAGATAATCACGGGGATTTTGAATTGGACTTACAGCATTCTAAGTGTAACAGAAAATGTACATTAAGAACGATAAGCGAAACAATTAACGATTCTTTATCATTTCTGTCTACAAAGTGAGTAAACTAGAAACCGGTTAACCGGTAATCTGGATTTATCAACAGACACCACGATTTTCGTTTGCCGAAGGATACAGAACGTCTGAAATTAAAGCATCGGAGTAAAACGCGGTTCCTCGCATTAAATTATGGAAGTGCTGTCCTCTTCTATCTAATTTACTTTCGCCGCGAGTTAAGCTGACGCTTGAAATTAAGCCAGCCTCTATAAATTCATTGGACGGTAACTTCGCTTACAGTTAACATAATTCTTGGATTTTCTCTTCAGACTCCGAACAGTCGACTTTAGTCAGTCCTCTTTTCGTTTTGTTTCTTCGGGAATGAAAGTACGTTTACTTTGAGACTCGACGGTCGAAAGAGGTTCATCTTCTGTAATTAACTTCTCAAATTTAATGTTTAAATCAACCATCTTCTTTCGATGCTGAATATTGAAATCAGTTGAAATGGAGAATAATTCTTTGCGTCGAATGAAAATTGTTTTCGATATTTATTTTTGATAAAAATGGTATTGGAAATTGTCAAATACAGAGGTGCTGTTCATAAAGGATATTTCGAAAATGGTTTAATTGATTTCATTTTACCATAAAAATGTTGTGTTATTTTCTTTTGATGTTTATTTTATCTGCTTTTGTCATTAAGTGAAATTGATATTTGGAAAATTAATGGTTAAAATTTATTCATCTGAAAGGATTGTGTTTTGCTGAAAATCTTTTGAATTTTTATTTTTTCAATAAGATTTTAAAAATCTTAATCCATTTCTATTCTCCAAAACAAAAATTCCAATTATTCTAATAATAAAATTGAACAAATTTTTCTCAAAAACATACCAATAAATCACTATTCAAAAGTCTTATTTTCTTTCTAATTTAACTATGGAATTATTTTGATGGAAGTTGCTAAAGAAACTGAACAGATTAAACGAGGCAAGAAATGAGGTGAAAGGTTGAGACACGAATGGATGCGTCTGAGAACAGTCGACAAGTTAAAAGAGCCTCGTGTTTCGAACAGAAAGAAAGAAAGAAAGAGGAATGAGAAACAGTTTATTCTCAGCTTGTGCATATATTTTCTTTCGAATCGAAAAGCAACGACGCCCTCCAGAGGATGCATTATTTCTCATTGCAACGAGGATCGATAAATGTTCGTCTGGTTTTATATGGGCTTCCGTAAGAGACATTGGTCTCGGGAACATTGTGATACAACACGTTGTGACTGATTGTCCTTCGTTCAACTGAAAACCCTTTGTCATCGTGTGCTCTCTTTGCTGAATGAGAGTTCTCGATAGAGGCGTGCTATCTTGAACGCGATAGACCGGAAACAATATAATTTTACCTTGACAATAGAATATTTTTTATTCTTGTAAATTGTTCAAAACTATCCCAGTTCTACCGCATGGGGGTTGAAAAATTATCACAATTTTAGAGAAGGATAGTTTCTTCAAATGGAACTTAGATTGATTCAAAATTATTTTTTGAATTTTTATAAATAATTATATGGGAAAATGGTATTCTACTACAGAAAAAAAAAAATGAAAAAATTATTACAAATATAACAATTCATCAGAGAAACTAAAGTACTACTTCACATAAGCTGAAGTAGTTTTGCAGTTTGTACAATAAATCAAATTTTATTTCAACCCCCTATTGGCGAGTTCATCAAAATGCCAAAGTAGAACGAAACATTTGGATTCCAGCAAAACAGCAACAAATCAAAAGCAACCAATTTGTTGGAACATTCCTGGAACTATTTCGACAAATCAAACGGGCATCGAACTTCCTTAAACAAGTTCGACCGCCGTCAGTATAGCTCGAATGATCGAGTAGCTCGATTCGAATTTCAAATGTTCGTTCCAGCAGCCGGTCTATCTGAAATCCGCTTTTGCTGATCTCTCCCCGTTTTCTACGAAACGCGTGCATAAAATATGAAAAAAGTTTCGTCGAAAGGGTTAAATAGGGCAAACGCCTGCAGATTTCCTCTTTCTCTCTCCCTTTTGTTCGGCTTTCTTTACTAGCCGTGTAGGGTACTTCCAAACACGTGGCAAATAATGTATAGGTGCATTCAAAATGCATGCATACAAAATTTTAATATGAGTGATGATTTCTTATAGAAATTCAAGTATTTATTATCCACATATGTCGCATCCCATATAAATATTCCTAATTAGGTCAGTGTTATTTAAATATGAATGACATGACAATCAACTTGTCAAGCCATTATCGTATTACATTTTTATTTTGAGATTTTTTTTTTTTTCGTTTTATCCTGAATCTACTTGTATAAGTATCATGTGTTAAGAAACACCCTGTATAGCGCGTTTATCGACCGGTTCTTGTCTCGTCGCGGATTAGAAAGAACGGCTCTACCGTGTTCAAGCGTGATTCCAATTCCTCGATCGTGTCTGCTAGTAATCACGCTGCCGGATTTCTTTCCATGCCGGAACTCGGACGCCTACTATGCACTCGTTCTTCCTTTTGTGGCTCCTCGCCATCGCGTTACCATTGATTGCTTCCCATCGAACCTTCGATCCTTAACATCGATTTAAGATAATCCAACAGGAGGTACCTCTCATTTTGCAAATATAAAAAAAAAATTTCTCATTATACTTATGAAAGAATTATTTAATAATTTGCATTATCAGGTTCAATTTTTTAATTTCAAAATTATCAACTATGTAATAGTTGTTACAGTACAGGTATGATTCCAATAGGGTTAACTGGAATCGTTGTATTCCATTCCGATCGGTTCTACTTGAATCGTGGATTAAAGGAAATATGAAAAATATCATTTCTTGAGCGTTATTCCAATTCCTCGAGTGCGTCTGTCGGTAATCATCGCTAGGGATTTCTTTTGTGGATTTCTTTTCCATCGAAAAGAGGAGGCTGCAAGAGAAGAGGAAGACACCGGTCTCTTCCTTTTATATTCCCTCGCTATCGTGTTACAATCAATCGCTTTGTCTCGTCGTCGTTGTAGCCCCTTTAAGTTGATGCTCGAGTAACAATACACTTGGTACAGAATGTTCCGTGAAATCGATGCACGACGCTTCTTCTCGGTATACACGGATAAAATAAAAGACGCTTCGAATTCGAACGGTGGATAATATAATATAAGGTGGGCGTTCGATTGAAAGCTTCTGGAAGAGAAACACGTAGTCGACGAGAACATCCTGCAGAATTGAGCTTTGTGATAACGTATATATCAATACAAACGGTTAGGTTAGCAGAATGGGGGAAGGGAATTTGGATTTTTCATCGTCTCCGCTCTCTAGGTAATCACATGACGCTGTAGAATAATTTTCTTTGAAATTAGGCCACCACTCTTGTGACGCTTAATAATTGCATATATACTTGTAAATTGCAAATTTACAATCTCATTTTCTTCTTTAAATCAAACTATCTATGAAAAGAAATTTATTCTGAAATTTCTATTCTTTTGTTTTTATAAAATTACGTCCTTTGAAGCTGCACTACCAATTTTGCAGCACATAGCAATTGCACCTGACCCTATTTTCCATAAAAATGAAGCTACCTATGAGAAGAAATGTATTCCAAAATTTCCACTTATTTTTCCTCCCAAATTACTCCACCCATCTTGAACCACCATACATTGTATAGGCTCCTTTGCAACAATAGTTTCATCGGAACCCGTATACAGAATCGTAGTCTGAAAAGGGTTAAACGATGCAACTGCTTGGTCCCCAAAGGGCATTCGTTCACAGATGATTTCACTCGTCCATCGGCGAATATTGCGAATATCGTCTACTACACCGAGACGCGTTAAAGGAAAAGGGAAAACGTTCGAGCGAGAAATTTCCAGCTGCCAAGACAATGGCCGCTCGAACAATGCTCGAACCGTAGAAG